AACCATCTTCATATAGCCATGAACATTAAGTGTAACAGTGATAATTTTAAAGTGTAAAACCACAGGGAAAGATAGGCTAGATTGATTAGGTTCATCAGTGATCCCAAGGCGTAGAATACCCGCCAGTAGGGTGACAGGAGGTAGAACCAACGATGACTGCAGGTTCATTATCCAGTGTAATACAACCGACAAACGTCGGCACAGTGTGTGTATAGTGTATATAACGACGTAGGTAAATAGAATAGGATAGGAATGTGTAAGAGTTTAATTCAACCCAACATTTCCTTAAGTGTTACCCTCTTCCTTGACGACTCCAGGACCTCCCAACGCTCCGGCGAATTACGAGTTAAGCCAGGACAGTGACGCAAGCTATGATAAGTTTACTAGATTTCTTGAAAATAACAAGATGGTGGCAGCATACTAAACAGGGTGACAGAGCGGGATATTTCCACGCCCTCTGTCACCTCGGCATTAGAGAGGTGTAGCGGCGGCTTAAGAGAGGCACAGTGGCGGAAGCGGTGGGGGTACCTCCACGCCCCCCTCTTCACGCCATAACAATAATAATAATAAAAACCCCGTGCCCTGTAGTCCGCAAGCGAACTATACCGACCGAACGACCGCCGCTTGTCGGCGAAGTCAGTGCCAACTTCTACAGATAGAGGGTGTAGCGTGTAGTAGTAGTAGTAACAGCTTTGTTTAAGTGCTTGCCAGCAGCCAGTGGCCTATAACAGGCGAGCACTGAATGTGTACATAAATGAAGCTAGACCAACACTAGAACTGGATAACAAATTAAACACTAAATAACAAAAAAACACATGCTAATGACATAACAGGAACCACGAACTCAGTATGATTAAACAAAGGAAATCCTGAAAATGTCCAGAGATTCGCAGAAACCGTTTGCAGCTGTCACACACCTTACTGAAGGGCTAAGTCTTGAGACATTACTGACCTTTCGCAAATTGGCATAGTTGACACATTGAGAGCAACACTATCCGTAATAGAAAAAGAGCGAATTTTGTTCTTTAAAACATCAATAGGAAATAAATGGTCAATTTCATTAATAATAATAATAATAATAATAATAATAATAATAATAANAATCCGTAAATATGTCTTGCTTTGCTCACAGTGACCTTCAAGTGCTGTACCATGCCAAACACTGTTACGGAGAAGAAAAATAAAGCGGACCCTTGATACAACGCGGGTTTAGGCCGACAGCTACAATACTGGCTTTAATGTGTGAAACTGACATTTAAAGTAAATTTCAGACTTGTGTTGCGCCAATGTTATTGGCACACACCATCAAATTGTACATGCATTTTTGCCTCCTTACGAAAATGATCACGTTAAAGAAACCAGAAACATACGAGTTCATAGCGGACCTCAAACAAAAAAACGAACTCCGTGGCCTGTAGTCCGCAAGCGAACTATACCGACCGAGCGACCGCCGCTTGTCGGCGAAATTAGTGCCAACTTTAGCGGATAGAGGGTGTAGCGGACCTCTGTATCATTAAATCATAACAAGGAACGTTGCAATGCATTCTTACAATGCAACAGACAAAATTCATAGAAAATGGTATGGTATGTATATATATAATTATGAGATATGATCACCGTCGTGGTATATTCTAATCTGCTGTATAACGAGGCACGGAATATCGAGGGTCCTCTTCAGTTCTCCAGCCTTCATACTCTGAAAGTGTTGTAACCATTCCATTGATTAGTCTTCAATGTCAGAGATAATATTTCATATTTATTGTGCCTAATATCTGTGACTTCTTTTCCAATCATAATTTACTTTCAGTCTTTCGGCATAGATTTCTTATACACCGAGTCCTCACCATCAAATATAAAGACAAATTTAGCCGAAGAGTTCTTCATTTTTATTCTTTCTAAAAATATCATTTTCTAGTCTTCAGTTACTTATTCCGGTTCAGTGGTAACATGATTGATTTGCTCTATCAGCAACAGCTGTGTGTTATAACTGAAGGAATACGGAGAAATGTCCGTTCTTCAAATGCGATCTTAACTATGATTTATTCTGCGAAATTGATAAATATCTTAGTAAAAGGAAAATTCTATTCTCACAATAAAACTTTGACACTGATGTGTTTATATTTCTCCAAGTTCACTTTGTTTCATATTTACAGACCAGACTCTTCAACACGAACTGTAACACTGTTGAGTGGGCTGAGAAAATGGCGATGGGACGTGAGTAAACAGTACTGGCTGGATGGAAAAAAGTCGTATGTTTGTCTGAGTGGAGAGAGACCAAAGATTGGTATAACAGAGTAAATGACTACCTTTTTCTGTTTAGAATAACAGAAGTTTGAAGAGTAAACATGTAGATATATCCTATGTACGAAGGAGAATCAGTAAATAGGTCACAAATGGATATGAAATGTAAAATATGTTATATTCGAACATGGACAAAACATTTATTTCTCGACATATCCTCCACCAATACTGACACACATGTCGAAATCCGCAGCATAAAAGTCTTTTGACTGTTATCTCAGCCATTTCCGCATCTGGTCGGGTATCATCTCCGAATTTCGAAAGCCCCTGAGAGTTTCTCGACCCAGTTATGAACCGCTTTACGAGACAAACATTTCCCACCGTAAACAGGTAACATTTATTTATGAATATCCTTTGCACTGAATCCTTCAGTCCACAAGAAATGCACAACAGGTCACCTCTCTTCGGTAGAAAACTCTTCAAACATGGTCGCCATTTTTACTACTGAAACAAGGCTCTGAACATGCGCATGGCTGTCTGCTACCTAGACTGTCATGAAGCTGGACTGTGCTGCTATACAGTGATGCACATAGAAAACATATTACATCCATTACAGCTGTTTTAATTCCATTTGTGATCTGTTTACTGACTCTGCCTCGCACATGCAGAACTCAAAACATAATACTCTTCATATTCAGGGCTGCGAGAGCCTGAAATCCAGCAATATTTACATTATCATTAATTTAGGCAGTGCAGTCACAGAGAGATGGAGCGGCACCGAGACAAAGGCAGGCCTTTTGCTCACGTGTTCACAGGGGGAACAGGCACTTGAAAAGGGTGGAACACAGCCACTATTAGTGGAAATCCAAAAATAGCAATTTAAAAGCATGTTAACACATTTTTATAATTAACAACAAACGTTCTACTGCTGCTATGCTATTTACGCCTTTGAGGCGAGTTTCTCGAAAAGTGTGCTGGCGCCCTGTCGCATTCTCTGTTGATATTTTGAATTTGTGCAATTCTAAACATCTGACAACACTCTTAAAATTGTTCTGATAGTGAGAGTTTCTTCAGCCCAGAACAGTTCCATCATGTGGGGTACAATGCTATGTAGTTCGCTAAAAGTCAAAAGATATTTTGTAGGAATATGTCATCTCCTTCTTCAGGGTTGAAGAGTAAGCAAAGCAAGAAACTTTCATGAAGGCTCATGATGTATTTTACTGAAACGTCGTTTAACTGAGACTGAATGCATGGCGTTATGTCCCAGAAGGTAGAACACTTTAAGCGAAATCTCTGTACCTGAGCAGATACTCCAGACGGCACATGGCGACCCTGTTGTGGGGCAGGAACAGTTGGCGATGCTTTCTCAGCAGCTGCAGCGAGTGATCCAGGAACATGTTGAAGGACTCGGCGAGGTACTCTTCCTGGTAAGCAAAGTGACATGTCAGAGGACAGAGGTGGGAAGAGAGAAAGAAGAGGATGGGGAAGAACAAAATAAACAGGAGGAAGGAAATGATGGGACAGAAATCATAGGGAAGATGGGAAAAGTAGGAAAAGAAAGAGGAAAGAATGGTACAGATAAGAATGAACAGGAAAGGAAAGAAAAAAGGAAGGAAGAGATTTTAGAGAAAAGATAGGAATGAACAAGAAACGGAGGAAAATAAAGAAGGGAAAAATTGGACAGGAATTGATAGGAATGAACAGGAAAAGGTAAAAATAAAAAGAGGCTGAGGATGATGAGGAAGAATAAAATGAAGGAAACGACAGAGGGAATAAAAGCAAGAGGGAGGAAAGAAAGAACAACAGGATAAGAAGGAAGACGAAGGTACCGAGAATGAAGAAGACATTAGAGGACAATATGGGAAATGATGGGAGGATAAGAAAGAAGAAAAATAGATGACCAAAGAAGTAGAAGAAAAATTGACACTAGGAACAAGAGAGGCTGAGATAAGAATAAAAGAAGTAAAGAGACAAAATAGGAAGAATGATGAAGGAAGGATTAGGAAGAGATGAACAAAATAAAGCAGAATAAAAAATAAGAAAATTAGAGTATGGATTGACAAGAACAGCCGAAGAAGGGAGAAATAAGACCCGATAGGAAGGAAAACGACAGAATAAATGAAAAGAAAGAGAGAAGAGTTAGGTTATGATCTAATTCAGAAACAGAAGTGTCTAACCCGCAGACAAGAAGTAATTGTCTGTTGCCTTCACGATAAAAAGTGTGGGGGGGGGAGAGGTTGGTAAATATTAAGACTGACTCAAGCCGAATTCTTATGAATAAGTTATCATTTTCAATTTCTTCCATGTCTGGTTTCATTTAAACAATTTCCCCTGTTAATACACCGACATTGTCATGTACAGAACAATTTGTCTTGTTGGAAAGCCACGGAAAATTACGTTTAAGTGTCGAGATATGGCAGGAAACGGCCTCCATCTTTGGCATTCACGAACACCGAACAAATGCAGACCGAAATGAGCAGCTAAGCTCAAGGATAGAGACAGAGACAGGGCTCACTTCTTCCTTTGTGAGGGTCAGTGTGTTCCACTGCTGGTCCAGTTCCTGCAGGAGCCTGAAGAGAATCCTGTAGTCCAGTGGCAGTTCCAACGCCTTCTTCGAGTATGCGATCCAGCGCACCATGGCTAGCTGCAGTTCCGTTACGTCTCCCTGGATGGCGTGCTGGTGCAGGATGGTGAGCGCTACGTGAGGCAACTCGCCGCTCCACTCCCACGATGGGCTCTGCAACAGCACGCAAGCTATGGAATCTTCTGGGGCGATCTCTAATGCGGGAGTCAAAGACAGCCTCCAAAAATTAGGGTAAGAAACGAAGGTGTCACTGTGTTTAATTTATTCAACAATTATGTACTACGCCATGAAGACATGTGGTGGAATTGAGGTATAGGTACATCATTCTTAACCTCAGCATTAAATTGAGGTGAGTGGTCAGCTTCTAGCTCAGGCCGCTTTACCCTCAGGAAAAGCGCTCCCAGTACCCATTGGATTGAAGGTTGAGTGGGCCCCAGAGCCGGTCTGGATGCTGTGGAGTAGAGAAAAATCTCTTGGCCCTGCCGGGAATCGAACCCCGCTAGTCCAGCCCATAAAACTTTGTTATACCGACTGAGTTATCCTGGCTCCTCTGAAGAGTTGGCTAGTCATGAAATACTGACATGTGTGATGGTTCGAGAAAACTTCATTTCATTTGGTTTCAGGTAATTAAAAATAAAGGTAAAACTACCCCTGTAACAGGCCACGGAGGCCCGTAGGGTTGTGAGACGTCGAGGCTCCCACATTTTCTAGACAATCGGCTCACAGATTATTGTGAGGTCTTTCAGCCTTACGCGCCGGCCGTCCTTTACCTCCTGGAAGATTCATTTGGTCACAGTGAAATCTTAAAATCCCATATTTTGAAGAAGAAATCAGTGCAAGGAAATGGCTGCCCCGTTTTTAATTTAAGGTTAGGTGTCTTATTCTTTTCTTTTCTGCGATGTCTTATGCCCTGGAGCAGCGGCATTCCGACAAACCGAAGTCCCATAAGATTTTTCAACTACATAACCATTTAAAATGCGCTGGTTTCATTACGAACCACTCACATTAACAACAAAAAACTCTACATTTTGCTCACAGAGTGTAATTGTGTGGTTCTTATGATTTTTTTCAATAGTCAACAAATATTTTCCTAAACATGAATACCAGAACTGTCTCTGTAATGCAGAGACAGTGTGTTCTGAAAGTGGGAAATGAATTCATAAATATTACAACCATTAACTTCATAATTCACGATCCAGAATACCGAGATTAACGGCCGTGGGAATCCATTGCGCTTAACACGCGACACCCTCTATCCGCAAAATTTGGCACTAACTTCGCCGACAAGCGGCGGTCGCTCGGTCGGTATAGTTCGCTTGTGGACTAAAGGCCATGGAGGAACTTCATAATTCAACGTAGTATAACAATGATACTGCGTGGTCTCTATATGCTACATAAATTAGGTCATCAAAAAGTTTTTAACAAATATTTAACAGACTGAATCAAGTTAACCTAAGCAACGTGGCTTAACTACCTCGTTTCATGGATTAGTTTGGGTTTGGAAATGGGGGTGACGTGAGTAAACGCCAGCTGTTTAGTCCCAAAGCGATTCATTTTGAGGATGCTATTTGCAGTGCCTTAGGAAGTCGTAACTACTTTTCCCAAGAACGATATAGGAAAGAATTCTCGACAAGTATCGTAATAATTCCATGTCAATATGCGATAACCATCCCCCAAGAATTCTGTACTGTTTTGAAGCGTTGCTCTAGCTCTGGAAAGCCATTTCCGCCCTGTTCAGAATCCTTCTTGCGAAATTAATAGTCACTCAGATATTAAAAAATTGTGTACCTTTTAAGGAACCGGTAGATTCGTTACCATGTTCATAAGAGGTGGACACTGGTCCCTTCCCTGGACCAGATGAGTCCAGTGCACATTTAACTAAGACGGTGAAAGTGGATTGACTAAGGAAGAAACAGAAAGAACAGAAAGAATGAATAACCAAGTTACAAGGTCACTGACCGAGGCGTGATCCACTTCATAGGAGATAAAAATGGTGTGCAGGCGTTCTTGTTGTCGGATCTCGGACCAATTGTCCTCCTCGGAATTCCCTCTGTCCTCCCGAGTAGACAACCATAATTTGAGTCGTATCCGACCTTGTACGTTAGAGCGCTGGGTTCGAGCCTCTAGTTGGTACCAGCAGTCAAGTCCAGTTGATGGAATATCCTGTTAATATTGCAAAGATATACATAAATTTCAAAGTAGAATTTGCGGTTATCACAGCGATTGTTATGAAGATCTGTATATCTTCTGGGGTGTAATGCTCTGTAGCCCGTTGAAAGTCAACCGAAGATTTGGAAGAATATGTTCCTCCGAAATGTCGGTTGACTTTCAACAGACTTCACGCCGTTATATCCCGCAAGATAGAACTCTTCATATATTTCAGCTGTCGGTTTACACACCTGTTCGAATATCTGGCAGTTTTGGTGAACACCATTTGTTGGTTTCACATAAGTTATGTACGGGCCATCCTGCTACTGACCACAGATTGTAGACCTCTTGGCTAGCCATTATACCGAGAAGTCTGATACCCAAGTCGCATGATGCCACAAAAATGCTTCACTCAACAGGTAGACAGAACTGACTTAACATTCAGTAACTTGGAAATTTTGACAGAAGAGTTCCGTTTTGTTTTCGACGTGGGGAAATGCCAGTGCATCAGTCCATGAAGATACGAAATATTACTGTATTAGAGTGTTATTATACAAATTTTCTTTTATTATTAT